ATATATATATATATATATATATATATATATATATATATATAGATCGACAAATAATCAGAGATTAATATATGTATTTATAATTGCTTGTCAAATGAATGCTAGCTTGAATTTCGATTCGAGAATCCTTTATTCTCGATAAATTTGTCAATCTTTTATTAAGATCGGAAATCACTTGTGTAATGACTGCTTTTTCACACCTGGAAATATATAATTTATCGTTGTCTATATCCTTACATCCCGCTCCAGCATCCTGTCTGCCGGCTGTTTCGTCGTGGCACTTTGGATATTCGCTCATGGCAGTGGCATTGACATTCGCGTGAATACGACGATTTGATCAGAAAAATGCGTGGTAACGCAATGCCGACGAGAGCCTGATTAAATGTTTCAAGAACCGACGAAATCTCTTAATCACTCAATGGAAGTGATAATTAACATGCCAGCACGCGTGCAATATGCTTCATAACGAACGTGTCGCTCCGCACCTTAGAACACAATGAAAACACTCGAAAAATGCACGAGAGTTTGACCGCCTTGAAAGTCCCGAGCGTGTTGATTGTTGTGAACTCGGCCGTTGACATGTTCCGACTTTCCGACGATTGCACGTTTTACGTATATTATTTTGGTACTCTCGCGCGTCGCGTATTTTCTTTTTTCGCAACCGAGTCCTTATGTTTCGAGCCAAGAAACGACGACGTGAGTACGTACAGTATCCACGCGTTGTGTACTGTTTCCGTCGGATGATTAAAATATCTCGTGCATTCTAAATAGGCTTTTGAAATATTTCATCGTGCATCGCATTCATTAATACACGTTTCTCCGATCGAATTGTCGTATCTGCGCGAGTGTCACTGTCACGTGCTATTATCCGGAGTGGCATAGCGAAGCGACCAGAAGCAGAATGCTGAATCGGGAAGTCAGGACAGAGGAAGCATGACACCGGGACGCAGAGACAGCGGCACATAATATATCTCCCTAAGTGTATAGATGTATATTTCATACGTATTTCCAACGCGCCCTAATAAAAGGAATGAATAATTAACACGAAAATATGGAGAAATAAAATTATTTGTTTCACGTATCCATTAATTATACTTATTCTTTTAAATGATTATTAATTATTTAATGTTTGCTTACCATATGTATTATATCTACAGTTAAATAAGTTACAAATATTAAATATATTATAAAATGTCCTTTTTTAAAGGCAATTTAATATGAAGAAAGTGGCATTAAGTAAATATTGCATCAACGTAGAATAATACTTTGTACGGTGTTGTAGACATTTGACGGAATTTGTTGGATTAATATGTGACTAAAATTTCGTGTACGAGTATTACATTAATATTTGTTAACTTGACCTCCTTATTTGAATTTCTTCGGAGAAACACATTATATTGTTATCAATAGTCGAGCGTTTTGCGATTACACTTTGGAGGAATGTGCGCGTCGTTGGTATCATCGCTACGTTTTATTACAGAGCGAACACTACAAGACATGACTACCGTATCAGATTTATGTGCCGTATATTATTTATACGTAAAGCATACTTTGATAATTTCCAGAAACACGATCGCACACGTACAATCGCGCCATACGAATTCGATATCGACTCCTATGGGCGCGCGTGCTATAAATCGACGTATGCTCAATTTCAATTCGTGCTACTATGGCTGCGCGCACCACGAAATGGAGCATCGCGTTCCTTTGATATCGCGCGAATTGGATTGCAACATTTGACAGCGGGCCGCAATTTTCGCATATTAACGCTCATCGCGTATTTAGTCGCGGCCGCCTCTTGTCGACCGCCTGCGTTTGCGCGGCTGAGTATTAATGCATTAGCTCACGTTACTAATGGTCTAAAATATTAATTAATATAATGCCAGTCGATGTCAAATATCTAATACCGCTGACCTAATTCGCACACGCACGTTCATCATATTTGCTCGCAAAAACGATAGCTTCGCACAGCCAATACGCGCGTTGGCAAGTATAATCTTCGAGCCAATATTCATTCGCGCATCGCTCGCACGTTATAATCCTAAGCCAGGAAAACAAAGCTCTGCTGTCGCGCCGATTTTACAAGTACTCCGACAAATTTCGCTTTACCAAACCCCCGCGTTCGCGTTCGTGCAATATCGTTAATGAAAGCGCATAACTCCATTAATTCCGAGTTTCGATATTGAACTGGCGACTCGAAAAACGCGGAAACTGAATACCACACGTGACTCAAATTTGCACGTATAAATGCTCGTCTGCAATACGTAGTTTTTGAAGCAATAAAAATTAAAAGTAATTTATTTCGCCCAAGTACATATAAGAGAGATACCTCCGGGTGCAAAGGAAGCGTGAGCGAAGGAAATCGTTTCTATTTCTTACTGCAACTTACGCCAAGCTTACTCCGCGTATCGTAGACGAGCCTTAAGTGTATACGATGGCAGTTTTTTTTTATTTCTTTTGTGTCTTTCCTCCGATCACGGCACTGATTCGCTTGACGCGCATTACGCGTCTCGCGGAGGAAGCAACCGCGACGCGTCAACGCCGAGAAGTATTCGTCGTACACTCGACGACTGGGACGAGGGAAGCCGGTACATCTCGGAGATACATCCGGGTATTTCGTCTGGCCTATCCCCCGCGACGCCGAATTTACATAAGCGGCTTTTCCCCGGAACGGAGCTTTTCTCCCGGTCCTAAACAAATATTGACCAGGTCGCCTCCTCGACTAGTCTCGTCGGTACCGTCGTCAAATGGCCCATAGCTGACCACCGTGCACATTATCCATAAACGCTTATTAAACGGTGGGCGAGATGGGAAATCATGATGTCAGCCGCGACGACCTCGCCGAGAGGCGACGTGAGTCAAACTTTAAGAACGACGTCACGCGCCGCATCTCGTAGGAGTAACAGTCGCGCAATATCCGATCAATTGGTGTCGTCGTTAGCTTTCACGAGTATCGGATAGCGATCGTACCTTGAACGACTTTAAACAGCGGAACATTAGTGGCTCCCGGCCGTAATAATAAGGAAATAATTAGTGTTGTGCGAAACGCCCACGTTGAAAGGATCTGTTGCCTCATATTCGGTAATTCCATTCGACTGCCAATGTAAACTCCATTACCGCACTAGAATACCTAAAAGGCCAAATACTACTCGTGCGCTAACTAATGGCTCTCGGCCGTCATGGACAGTCGAGTGGTTAACATATAAACTTAGAACCCAATTAGGGAAGGCTACGTATTGCCGGAGTTCTCGTGGAGCCCGCGGCAAAGACGCAAAAAGCAAAAAGCCTAAGAATCTGTAAAGCGCGCGATAAAAATGATTAGTGCGTGCAATTTATTCGCCGTGCAATTCCACGTAGAGCGCGGTGCTACATGTCCTCGTCAATGACAGTTAAATATAGCTGTGTAAGCCGGTATCTCGACCGTACGATTAGTCAGTCGGTCAGACACGTCCCTGACGCGTAGTCATACGTGAAGAAGAATAATTGCATATTATCTTTAAGGCGATCGTTATATGACTCCGTGCTATTATTATCTCTACACCATCGAGTACCGCGCGCGTTGCAAAACGAATTGCGTATGTCTCGTATCGTGACGCGATATTGCTGTGCGCGTGACTATCGTTAAAGAAAGTTATGTCTCATTGTTGCAGAGCGCAAGCTGTTCGTCGGTATGCTGTCGAAGAAGTTCACAGAGAACGACGTTAGGAACATGTTCAGCGTCTACGGGATGATCGAGGAATGCTCGGTGCTGAGGGACAGCACCGGGAAAAGTAAAGCCTGTGCCTTCGTTACCTTCGCTAGTAAGCAGTACGCTATCAACGCCATCAAAGCTCTGCATCATTCCCAGACAATGGAGGTTCGTGGCATTGTAACAACGTTGCGACAAACCGGCATATCTCGTCGGTTCTTACTCGCTCCCGTAATTGTTAACCGCCGACTCGGTTTGACTCTACGATCATCGCGTTCTTTTCATTTTCTCATTATCGACTCGATAGCATCTGCGTTTTTTTCGTCTTTTTTCTTTATTTGTGCAAACTGAGCGATTCTTGGCAAAATCCCGGAGATGTTCGCGGAGATGATGGACGGCCCAATGAAGGCGCGCAATCTGTTCTCGCGTTAACGTCCCGAGAAAGACCTGGGCCGCTCGTTCGATCATTTAGACGGAGTAAACGGTGCCGTAAAGAGATTAGGAGATGACGGTACAAAGCGGGTCGTTGAGTCTTCGCGGTTCGTTTCTTTTCGTGACGATTCAAGCGCGAGCCGTCGGACGTATTGGCTCGATGCCACTGTCACCCGACGAAACATCCGTGTGCATCCACAACCCGGCTAGTCACCTCGGTGAAATACCGATTTAACTCGGGGTAACTAAAACCGAGCGAGTGAAGATGGCCGAACTGGTCGACACCTTGGCGATTCGAAGCTCGCCAGGACTTTTCCGTCTCTCCCCGTCTCTCATCGGCCAAGTCTACTTTCTGCCGCTTCCTAAGCTTCCTAAGCTCCCGCGAACTCTAGAATAGAAGCTGGCGCATTTTTCGAGCGTTTCTGCGCAAACGATTTCAGCAAAGAAGCGGCGCGACACACATCGTTCCTCGGAGTTCTACGAAAAAGTGACAAATAAATTGTTTCGCGATCTCGTGTCGTTTATCAAAACCCTCCTTTCACTCTAACGTTCCCATTTCTCGCCGGAATCTACTGCTGCATGTACGTATCAATTGTTTTCTCTCACGGTCGAATGAGATGTTTAAGATATTGATCTGCAACAACCACCGCGCGAAGCGTAGCTGGTGTGTCCGCGGCTTGATGACGATACGCCTATGCAACGTACTATTTCGACTGGTGAAAGCGAGCTGTGCCAAGGCATGCGGGCACGAGGGCAATTCCACTTTAATATCACGAATATTTCCGGCCGCAGGTTCCTCGAACTTGCTCGCGTCCGTCGACGCAACCGACACGCCGATTTCGCGTCTGCGATTGCGTCGCGCATTGTGTACGGTGCATCGACCTCGCGATACTCGCGTGCACCCGGTCCCGCGACCGAACGAGAGTATCTCTTTCCCCGAATGTAACGCCTGATCGCCGGCGAATCCGTTCTCACGCCAATGCTGAACTTGGACTTGAACCAATAATCACGTCGCGCGAAGGGGCGCGGAGTTTAGACGCGAAATGACGTCCTGGGCGAGGTATGACGAAAGTTCGAAGTCAACGACAGACATGTCGAAGCGTGGTGGAAAGCTTGTCCGAAAATTTCAATTGACAAAGCTAGACACGGCTATATCGTCCAAAATGTCCTCGTTGAAGAATATCAATAGAATTCGAGATACTAGTGTTCCTTGAAATAGAACAGTTAATGTCGTTTGCGGTTCGAAGGCAGAAGGAGAGAAATGTATATTCACGTATATTGTTTCTCTCTCTCTATCTGTGGCTTCAAACCGCAGCGTGACCATTAGTTGCTCCAGTTTCGAGACATTCGACTGCAGATGCGGGTAAAATTTATTCTCGTCGAGAACCCGATCGGATCAGTATCAATATCGCTATTTTCATATCGAATTTCTTTCTTACAATTCGCGTATCGTTTGTATGACTTGCGCACCACTAACGCGTTCTACAATTTTTAGGGTTGCTCGTCGCCGCTAGTCGTGAAATTCGCGGACACGCAAAAGGAAAAGGATCAGAAAAGGATGCAGCAAATCCAGTCGAATCTTTGGAACATCGCGGGAGTCAACATCACGCCGCATTACCTGACCGTACGTATACTTAATATTTTACAATGAAAGCTCTTTGGCCGGTATCAAAGATTCCATTTGCATCGAGAACGAGACGCTCTTCATGGCTCTATCGTTTGAGCGCCTTACTCGTATGCATTATCCAGCCTTTGAGAGACTTTCTATACAGCGACCTCAATTTTGTTATGCAAAATATGTGTAAAAAAAGAAGAAACGAAAAACTAAGACCTCCTTGTAGACCACCGCCCGTCTTCTATGAACACATTTAACGCCCAATGCGCAGTTACCTGCACCGATCTCTTTGTTTCTACCGAATGTTTTATGTGTGCGAACCTCGCATAAAATATCACGAACATATTTATGATCGTTTTTTTTGCAATAATAATCCCACGAAAAATATCTGATAACCGACATGAAAATATCGAAAATTTTTTTACTGTAAAGAATTTTCTAAATTTGGAAAGAATTACTTAAAAATCACAGATTTTTCATTGTCCTAAAAGTACACGCAGAAATAAGATTAACTGCAGGAACTAAAATATTGCTGCTTAGCTAAAATATATTATTGAAATAGGAATAGTTAATGCCATTACCACCGGAGTTAAATTTATTAACTATTTGAACTGTGACACTACGATAAAAATGATTCACTAATAAATAGAATATTCTCGTTATTATTAGAGTTTCGCTTTTGTTCTTTATACCCATTAAAAACATAAAATTAACGCTTCACATTACAAATCCACACCAAGATTTTTCCGTTTAAAACGTTTTTCTTAATATATATTAATAATTAATGTCCACTTTAATGCGGATATAAAAAATGATATCTTTCGTACTCACATTATCCCCACTTATCCTGCAGAAAGACGATTTCACGTTCATCGGAAGCGCAGTAATTTCCCCTTTCCAGTGGTCTTTGTTTCAAGCCGCTACGACTTCCGCAAGTGGAGTTTTTAGCAATTCTATCGATCCGCATTTTATATTATTCGTCATTATCGCCGCAGCGAGCTAGCGATCCAGCACAGCACGACGCGTGAATGGAATGCGGAAGTCGACTATTACTTCCGTAGTCACCTTGCGCGGTATGCGACAGCACGTAGCTCGCTACCCCCACTCCGCGGCTCAGATAAGCATCACGCCCCACCCACTTGCTCGCTACAGCCATGCGGTCATTCACCTTACCTCAGAAGCAAACGGTACGCCGGTGCGAGAGCAAGCACTAGCGAGTTCGCAAGAGCGCGAATTTGAGCTCAAACCTAATGTCGATGCCGTGGCTTTAAACAGCTATAACACGCGAATAAGTCGATATAGCGAAGTGAAATAAAAAATAATCTCTGGCACGCATTCCCCGCAGCGATCTACCGTTCTTTTATTGCCTATTTAAAAGAGTCGAGTGTCGATCGATTAAGGTAGGGCAAACACGAACAACACGCAACTTCCTTTATTCGCGATCGAATCGCTTAGATTTCTCTCTCGTCATCTCGTTTATTGTAACAGTGACGAGATTGATATTATTATTGTAGATCAAAGTAAAAGAATAATTATGTGGTTTTTAACAAAATGTGGAGGACTGTTATGTTCAAATTCATGAGCTCTACTCGCATACGAGCATTGGTAGACATTGTGTCAGACATTTTGTATACATTTCCAACGACAGTGAAAAAAGAAAAATAATAAAAATATAATAAATATATAATAATAAAAATATAATAAAAAATTGTGAAGTAACAAAACTTACGTGTGCTATTTTATGTATCCAATAATTATACAGAGAGTCTGGATTTAGATATTCGTATACAGGTAAAACATGTTGAATAGAACATGTTGAATAGAAAAATCCTGTATCATTTTGTACAAACTCTGCCACAGTAATTATTGAGATATTAATGAGAGAAAGTTGGGCAATGCGCGCGATGCAATGAGACGAACTCTGTGAAATTAATTCTTTACGGAAGCAAATGCTCCAGATTCACGTGCTCGAGATTCATAAGATATTTAGAAATAATGGTCATTTCTCCTTAACCTCTCGAATAAATGCACGTTTTTAATTTCAGCTAATAAACTTTTATTTCATAACGAATAAATTTTTCCTGTGATAGCCAACTGTTAACAATGACAGCAAAATTATTAGCCTCTTATTTAAATTCGCGTATATAACGCGGTATTTTCAAGAATCTGAAAAATCAAGCAATAGATACGAGAATATAAAAAATTCCAAATACACGATAAAAAACATTTTGTACTTTAGTAAATTTCGATCTTATGTAGACATTTTTGTATTGAATTTTTAACATACCTGTGTGTTAATTTAATATATTGTCGTTCTGTTCTTTTGCTTTGAATTCATATTTGCGATTTCTAAGTATTAGAATACATTCTAAGTATTAAAATAACATAATCTATATGTAACATATTTCCTTAATAACATATTTTATATGTAAAATATATAAATAAATTGTGTTATTTGTTAACATATTTGCCTTGTATTAAATTGACACAAAAATTAGAATGGATAAATTGGAACATGTAAAATATGTTAAATTTTTTACAGTACAAAAAACAACATTTTTTACAGTATATAAAAAATTCTAGGTCCAGGAGAAATTATTGAAAAAATTACACATTTTTCTTGCAGTCTCGAAATTAGGTTAAGGATATTTCCGGGTGAATTAGAAAAATCGCGACGCACCTTGCATCGCGAGAAATATTAATACGATGCAACGGCGCACACGATCGACCGCGATTAACGAGATTCGTGTTTATGCTTACAGAACGATACGCATACGCTGGCGCCTGCGTCGCTGCAGCTGTTGCAGCAATTGCAGGCGACGACGAGCGCCGCGACTCCGGTCGCTGCGAACACGGCGGGGGCGAATGCACTGTCGAATGTACAGCATCAGTTGCTGCTGCAACAACACCTTGGCCTTGGTGCGGCAACACCTGCGCATGCCGCGCCCCCCGCCGTACCGAGCCCGCCGGAAATCAACCCCGCGAATCTGCAAAGTCTGGCCACTCTCGCGTCCCTGAGCAATACTGCTGGTGAGTATGGTTAGTGTCGATCGCTTGCATATACTTTTTTACTTTTACGCTTTTCTAAGTTATAATTTAAATTTAATTAGCGAGTATCGCGAAATATGAAATTGATTTCTCCCTCACAATGTCATACGATTGATATAAATTAATCGCATATTTTATATGCACAAATGCGCACGCCTGAAATCGTAAAAAAATATTGCATATTTTTTACGACGGGTTTTATGATTCTTATCTCGCTCTTGCGTTTTCTTTATACGTAGATTTCTGATCGGATTAATTATTAATTATTCACTAATTATTCATAGTCTCACACTCTTATAAAACAATCAAGGCGCATGTTATTTTCGCTTCGTGCAATTATATTTTTATTACTATATCTTTATTATAGGATACTTTGTCATGTGTTTTGAACAGCTCTCCGGTTATGAGATCCTTAAATTTATCACCCTCACACGTTCAACTTCGTCGCATCACCTTTTGACCTCACTTGACGCGAGAATTCTCCGCATACTTATAGAATCCTATTTCTAAATCCGATAAAAATTTTGCGCGAACAAGTTTAAATATATAATCTCACCCGGGAGATGATCCGCTTTTGTTCTGAAATGTGTCAGACGCGCCGCCACTATTCCAATGCAAAGCACCGAATAGAATTCGATCGATCGGATTTTATCGACGGAATGTGATTTCAATCCGTTCCTTCGCTAAAATTACTCGTCCGACGCATTCATATCGGTGTCAGAATAAATAATATTATTTCACGCTTTACGTTCTCGAAGTTTCGCCGCCCGCTACGATCGCGTCCCGCGGGCCGTATCTTTTCGAAAGTTATAACGAAATGTCCCGCGCCAGCCAGCACGGCAATAATAAAATTCTACATTTAATGGGACCGGGACAGATGCCAGTACGATGATACACCGCGCCGTGCGCGTCTATCATTAACTTTATGCTGAAATATGTGTTTACCGCTCACTGCCGCGGAACGTATGGTCATTCAATGATGTTTCAACGTCACGCAATGAGTTTGCATGTACATACACTCAGCGCAAAATGACGATGCCTACTTTCGACGAAGGGTCTAGGTTTCGATATCCAATGAGTTAAATTCAGTGATACGTCAATCTCGGGAGGAGAACTGTCGTTACATTCTTCTGTCCTTCGTCGGTGATTCATATCTCTTGAAAAATACGGTTTTAATCCCACCGTCGGATTATTATTAACCCTGATTTTTTTGCCCCAATTTTTCGCCCTCGCTACGTTATTCCGCGTTTTGTAGCTGTATCCTTCTAGAGATAAGTATAACAAGAGCACTCGGAGATAAAAGAGAAAAAGCATACCGCGCCGAGTCACGAGTAGTTAGGTGAAAAAACGTTGAAACGCGGCGAGGTATAATCGCTTCTGTGCAAAAAGAGATCTATTGCAATTGAATCGGACGCAAAGTCGAACGAGGTTGAATGTTACCGAGAGGCCTCGCGAATGATAAACCCCTGACGCATTGTGTTTCAGCGAATGCGGGAGTATCGCCGATGAGTATGCAGAACCTCGTCACCCTGGCAGCTATGACCGGCGGAAACGGCAACCTCCAGGTGTCGCCAAACAGTGAGTAGAGAATATTTCGCGAGGTGCATAATCAGAGAACACATTATCGTACATTAACGTGCAGCTGTAAGTTCCGAGCGGAACTGTCCGGCGCTTCGAATTATATACGTAACTTCGGACCCACGCTGTTACCGCCGCCCGTCCTCCCACCGATTGTACAAAACACTCATACGCTTATGCATCACGTACGTTACCCGCGGTAGACGGTAAATCCGCTTGAGCGTAGTGGCCGGACTTTAATGATCGCATGCGTTGTCGAAGTTCCAGGCCGAACGGGTGAACACTGTCCGTGCTTTTGTAGATGTGCATGGAAAAGCGGTCGCGCCGCAATCACAGCGTCGGTAATAATGCGACGGCGTGTCTATACATGTCCTTATAGTGTATTAACAGACATTATAATCGCGATACGCGACGGCACGATGAGGAAGAGGTGTCGCGAGACACGCCGCGCGATCGCGAACAATGCATGGCTGGAAGCCAGTTGGGAGAAAAAGTGAATGTGTGTCCGATTCCAACTTCGTTCGCATGTCGCAATGTATTTCGTGAGAGGAACAGACTATTTCGAGAAATAATGAGACACAAGTCGGGCGCATGCACAGATTGAGCAGTGTTATTTTTCAAACATGTTTCTGCGAGATTGTCGCGACTAATCTCTCGTGAGTGACTTCATCAACAATCAAAGATTATTCCAATATTTTCCGGTCTGCTAACGTCACTACGTTTTGAGTCCCGGCTGACTTCGGAAACGTATGGTTTGTAAATTAACTCGTGAAACGTGCTGCATGTCATACTTTATCAACGAATTCAAAACGAACATCATGAACAAAATGTATCATGAATAATTTGTTTCTCTCATTTGTTAAACGAATTTGATGAATAAGTATGAGTTAAGACAGATCGATTAGTCATGAGACTAATGATAATAATTATGTGGTGGCAGAGGGCAGTATTATCGAGTGAACCGTATCGAAATTGCTAGTAACCTGTATCTTTCTCGTGTTGTGTGCACATTGAATCGTGTAAATGTACAAAGTCCGCAGGTAAGATGTATATTTCCGTAGTTAATTACACCATTATACCCTCTTCTCATATTTCATGCCGTACCGAAAGAGCAAACTAACACACCTTTATTACTTTGCGTGTCCACGATATTACGCTCCCTTTACGATTTATGTAAAGTCAATAAGAAAGTGAGTCAAGTACACAAACTGCTCCGTCGCGTTCTTCACACGCGAGCGATTGTACGCAAGCACTGTTTGCGCAAGAACAAGTTTTTCAGACAATTACAGCAATCATGGTTAAATTGAACGGGAATCGTGGATCTTGATTATACAAAATGAGAAGTTAGAAATACGGTCTATAGTATTCTTGAATTTATATGAATAAAAAAAAATTTACACGTATAAACACAGCTTTGGCCGAAAACACTTGATAGAAAACGAAGTTTCTATCGAGTTGTAATAAACTCTGTAAAATATGACTGTCCAAAATTAATGAAAATTTTCTCCGTGCTTTTAAACTCATAAACGTTGAGCAATTTGCGATATCACAATTTATTTTACACTGTATACCCAGCGAAGATTGTCTGTGCAGCTAAAACCGGCTTTATCCGGTAAGATATCCCAGTGACAACAGTGCGAAGCTTACATGTTGCGTTTGATGTAACAGGAAAGACAAATATTTATCGCGGAGACGTTGCCACAGTTAGCCGCGCAAGCTTGACTAGTCACATTAATGCGAAACTAGTGAGCGCACATCGTTGACGCCGCAATTTCACCGTCGCAATTAAAAACGGAATTGCGACGGCGCCGCCGAGAAAATCCCGTCAAAGCTTCATTTCGCGAGAATATGCCATACATACATCGCTGATCCTGCTTGTTAATACCGCGAACGTGTTCTGTGTTTCAGCGTTAAGCGGCCTGGCGAATTCGACAGCAGGTATGTCGCTATGTACGTGTCGCATTGCCTGGTACAGTATTAACAATTACTAAATTAATTTCGATCGTGCAAAAGGGTCTCTCCCCTCTAATCCCATTGACGGTCAGATTTTCTCATTTCGCTTATTTAATAGTTCGCGCGTGCACGTGCGCGCGCGTGTATACGCTTCCAATTTCTCTCGGATTCATCTGTTTTTGTATACATTTCAATTTCCGTGGTGAATACAAACTCTCTTTCCCGC